ATTTTCGACTTCTTGTTGAAAACCGCAAGTCCGATTGTTAATATATTACATATATAGGTACTACATGTGCATCTCTTTCAGACTTGTTAATTTTGTGGTGATATCTTCAATTATCTAATTTTGATGATTTTTTTTTCATTTTTGGTGAAAGGGGATATTTTTGAATTCTTGTTAAAAACAGCAAGTCCCATTGCTTTGATACTATACATATTGTTCATTTTGAAATGATATCTTCTGTTCTTTAATTGAAATGTGCATTGCTAACAGCGGAGCTATCTCAGCTGACTGGCTGCTTGTTTAAACTCCTGTCAATCTGTTAGTGACAATTTCTTTTTTTTTCTCTTACAGAATAACTATGCAAATTTCTTGAATTTTCAAAATGAACAAGTAAAGGCCCTTGGTATGAGCCCAGGGACATGTTCATTTAATTCTGGTGTGTTTGTAGTCGATATGAATGCATGGAAAGAAGGAAAAATCACTGAAAGATTGGAATTCTGGATGAGTCTTAACACTGTGTGAGTTAATGTAACAGTTACCGGTACATGTACTTTGTATTATGCTAATTATGAACTTGCAATTCCAGTTTCTGTCTTCCCCCACTGTTCGCGATTTTCAATTGATGTTTTATATTGGATACCTTTTATGTAGTTTTCTGGGTCATATTGACCTTCTGACCAGTGATAAAATGAGTGAAAATCCAAGTGACACATTTCTGCATTTTTGTTCAATGGTTTTGGTTCCATGTAATATTGTTGTCTGAGTATTTTATCGAATCCACCATTTTTTGGTCATCTCAGATTGTAGCTTATCATATTATAATAAATAAAACAGTTCTCCAGATATCTATCAATCATTCCAGAAATTTTCAGGTAGATGTTTGATTCGATATACTGCAAAATCTTGCAATATAAGTGACCATGTACATTTTCGATAAAACTACAAATCATATATATATATGTAATACTATTTCTTCAATATATATTGTCAAAAATCTAGGTGCAGGATATTGTGGAATAACCCATTGTAGTGTAGATTCACTTGTAAAATAGGATGATCTTTTGAAATGAAACTACAAGTACATATCAATTGAGTCTGTTTACCTATCATATATCCGATAGGAACAACATAGCGCCCTCATTCTGCCATTTATGGAAATTGCCAACTATGTAAAAGCTAAAATATTCATTTAATAAAGCATGTATTAGAACTGTTTAATTTAAAAATTCCATGTTTTCATTTAAATAAACTAAACATGTTTTTACTTTCAGTATGGATGTATATGGTAATCAGCGTGGTGGTGGTGCCTCACAACCACCGATGTTGATTGTATTCTATGGGATACACTCTACAATTGATCCTATGTGGCATGTCAGACATCTAGGTAAACATTTCATGTATGCATTTATTGTATTCCATGGGAATCACACCCATCTATGCATTGGTGAAACTCTATGAGAAAATTTGGTAATTGATTAGATATGGTATGTCAGACATTTGGGTTTACCCCCTCCCCCATATTTAAATATATATATT